ATCTTTACTCCAATTTTGGTGGTGTCTATAGTCTACTCGCTAAGAAAAACGGTTTATATGGATATTTTAAAATTCGCTTGAATTTCCCCCAGCGAACGCCCACATTGGAACAAACATTGAATCCGTATTGGAGCATATTTTTGAATGGCCATAGAGTGTATTAGATATGACAAGAATTAGGCCGCAGGCGTGAACATCCCTGCTAAGAATGAGAGCGGAACTTCAACATTCTCCTGGTTGAGGGATTGGTCAGAATTGATAATGAACTTTAGGCTCCATCTCGACCCTAAACGATTTTTCCTTTGTTGTTTTTTTTCACAGAAAAAAATGAATCCCAGCTTGCCCTTTGGAGACCTGCCGCTGAGCTCTGGTTTCAAATCCGAAAGTTGGAATATTTGGTTGACAGTTCTCTGAAATTTTGTCATATTAGTAATAAGCCGGTCGAAAGCGCTTACATGATCATTCAGCAGCTTATAGCAAAAAAGCGCAGACAATGAATCAGTGAGGTCAATTGATATTTCCCTTAAGCATTATATTCCTTCTTTTACATATACCTAGTTGGCAAACCGGACTGAGCCCGGCATCATGATGAAACCTGAAATATATCTGCAACTGTAAATTGCAAATGAATTAAGGAGGCTGCTTATATCATACTGTTTGCTCTTATTGTGGAGCCCCATTCATTTTCTTAACTGCCAACGAAAAAACTAATCTGCGCAATTATCTTGCTTTTTCTTCTATTTTTCAAAGGAGCAACGGCCTCGTTCTAATCGCTCCATTTGAAAACCATATGTGTATGCATGATTTTGTTTAATCAATTTGATAGCGATCAATAATTGCATAAGTTTATTTTCATGTAATGAACTTGTTTGGCGCAACAACCTCGTAAATCAATATCATCGAACACCAATTGAGGTAGCTGACATGCCCGGCTTTGCTCGATTGTATAGAACCTGTGATATACGACCTGCAACCTTCCATGTAAATTCAATTCATTGAACAACATTCAAAAACAAATTATTAATCGACCAATGATTTTACAAGTTGAGAGAAAGTGGAAGTGCGAAAAGACGCGAGCATATTGCAGGGCCCCTCGCCCCACACGGTATCAAGTGCGCAAGCCTACAATTCTTTTTGTTGTTACCCGATGCAAATGCTGAATGCTCAGATGTCTGTTAGCATAACACTTTCAATTGACTGATAACTTCTTCTTTCGTTCAAATGCGAACGAGTTGTAATGCACGCAAATTGGCTGTTGCCCTTGAATTATCGTTTTATTCTGAGCGCTGCTGCTAACCCATGTGAGCAAATGCTCCGCTTCAAAACACAGTTTCATTTGTGTTTTCACAATCTTGCTTAAGTAGTATAATAACAATTAAATCAATTCATTTCTCCAAAATACATAATTTGGCTGAAGATTCGTCAAATGCATCAGACGACTAACTACTACATAACTAGTCTACGTTATCAACCTGCGTCCAATGTCTGCGTGCAAACTGGGTCTTATCGGTTTAGCAAAAAGTATTCAGAACATACACACATACATGAATACATGCATAAATACCTATATACATAAATACATACATGCATACATACATACATGCCATATACATACTTACACATACATACATACATACATATACATACATACATTCGTAGATACACAGATACGCACATACATACATGCATAC